GGATTCGAACCCGCCACCTTAGGTGTATGTGGCTGGCGCCTTAGCCTCTTGAGCCACAGGCGCCGAGCCCCCTCATTTTAACTTAATCACCTCTAAAAAGACCCTATTTCCAAATAAGTCAAACTCTGATGTATTGGACATTAGGGCTTCAGCATGTAAATTGAGGAAGGGGGTATAATTTAGCCCATAACACAGCTATTATACCTTTCAGCTCTAGAATTTTAATTTCTATCCCTTTATTGACATTGTTCTTCTGATTTTTTTTATTCTTATTCACAATTTTCTTTAGTTCTTTGGACATATTTTAATAGTAATTCCAATGCCTGAGTGTCCTCAGGACAGTTTCTAATTCTTTTTCCTGAATGCACCATATATTCCTTTTTCTGTATATGCTTTAAATTTTTTGTTGAGACTTGGACATTTTGAGTACTATATTTTGGTAACTCTGGAAATCAGATTCTCCCCCTCCTTAGGGATTGCTTTTGTTACTTGTTGGTTACTTGTTGAGACTACAGTTGTCTGTTTATGTAACGACTTCTCAAAGTTATTATGCAAAGTCTGTGTTCCTTGTTGGGTGTAGTCACTGAACTTTCTTTTCTGCTGTATATGCAGCCTGCCTGTGACTTAATAGAGATTTCCTTGAATGCCTGGATCCGGGTGTGTATGTGTGTGTGGGGGGGTCTTCTCAAATGTCTTGATAGGTGTACTACAGCCTGAGGGGGCCAAAATAAAGCTGGGCAGGTCTGCCAGACTCACCAAAATGTATAACCCCAGTTTTTGGAGGAAAGGGTCTTATTCCTTCCTGTCTACCCTGGCATCAACCTACTGCTCTAGGAAGATAGACCGCCTTCCAGCAGGCTGTGGCAGGCATAAGTAACAGGAGGATTTGCAGATGCTGCCCTCTTCTGAGGGTAGACAGTCTCTTCCCTTCCTCCAGCACTCTCGCTAGGAGTGCTAGGACTAGCTTCCAGGGTTCTGAAATAGTGATTCTTACTGTTCTTCTATCTTCCTGGTTGTGTTAGTGGAGGGACCAACCATGGAGCTTCCTGCTCCATCATTTTTCATAATCTCACTTACGGCATGCATTTTTGTAGAACATTCGTTATTCAATGAATGATGTTAGAAAAATAGTCTAGCCATTGTGGAGGCAAAGGGCTAAGTCCTAACCTTACTACTCTTTATACTGAAAAAAAGCCCATGCATTATATAGATTTAATTGTTTGTTTTTTAAATGGTACCAGGATAAAAAGCCAAAGAATTATTTTTATATTTAAAAATAATCGTGGAGTTGAGAATGCCCTTTTATGTTTTGCGCAAAATCCCAGGGCCAGAAAAGCAGAGATTGGTTATTTTATATAAATTACACAGTGGCAAGAAATTCTATGAAGTCAGCTAACTGGGAAAAAAAAATGCAACATAAGATAAAAGTATTTATCTGAATTTGAAAAAAAACCTTACAAATCAATAAGATTAATTGCCCAATTTGAGCTAAAGATATGACTAATTTATAGGAGAAAAACCACAAATAACCGCAAACATGAGTATAGAATATGAGCCTCATCCATAATTAAGGAAATGCAGATCAAAACAGCAATGAATCATATCACTTAGGAGATTTGCACACTTTTTTCCCTTGTTTAATAACATTCAGTCTTCCTAAGGGTGTGGGAAGTAGACACTCTCATTTACAGTTGGTCAGGGTGAGACTTAGGGCAAGCCTTCTGCCAGATGATTTGCTAATATATATCAGAATGTCTAATGGCCCTTTAACCCAACAACTGCAATTTCACTGGTAGAAATTACCCTATAGATATTTCCAAGGTATGCCAAGATAATTATGCATAGATATCCATCACAGCATTGCTTATAATTTCAAAACCCTAGCCAACTAAAATTCTATAAGAAGAAAATCTCTTAAATTATGATACACCCATGTAATAGGAAGCTATGTGGCCATTAAACAGAATGAGTTAGCTCTTTTTAGGCTAATGTGGGAAGATCTCCAAGATAAATTAAGTGACAAAAGCTAACTGTAGAATAAAATGTAGGTAATGAATCCATTTGAGTAGGGATTTTTAAAGAATATATATGATTTATTTTGATATAGGCACAGAGAAGCTTCTAGAAATATATACAGGAGTTTAATGGTGACTTTCTATGGGGATGACTAGGAATAAATGATGGAGAGTTTGGTATTTTTTTTTTTTTACACCTTTCCATAATTTTTTCCATATGTATGTATTATCCTCCCCCCTCATCCTGGCCCTTTTTTCAGATAGCTCAGAACAAAATTCTACAGTGGTGAGATCTAGCATAGAATCTGTTCACCCAGATGTAGTTCTCAGAATATACATACTTCTAGTCTAAACTTCTAGTCTATTCATTTGTATAGTTAACTTTTCCTTTTGAAACTACAAATACCTAAATAGTTTATTTCATGGTCTATTTTTGTTTTAAATTACTATGGAATGTTTTAAGATGTATAAAGCCATGAATTAATACTTCATTCTGA